TCGATCCTAATGATCTGAGTGGTCTGTTAGGTTTATATTCAGTAAACATATCTGCTATGTATTTAGGTCCTAGGCCATTGAGTGATTTATAAACGAGTAAAAGTACTTTAAAATCAATCCTAAATATAACTGGAAGCCAGTGTAAGGACCTGAGGACTGGTGTGATATGCTCAGATTTTCTGGTTCTAGTCAGAATTCTGGCAGCAGCGTTCTGGATGAGCTGCAGCTGTCTAATGGTCTTCTTGGGAAGGCCGGTGAGGAGGCCATTACAATAGTCCACCCTGCTGGTGATAAAGGCATGAACAAGTTTCTCCAAGTCTTGACTGGAAACAAAACATCTAATTCTTGCAATGTTTTTGAGATGATATTATGCTGATTTAGTTACTGCTTTGACATGATTACTGAAACTAAGGTCTGTCTCCAGAATCACACCAAGATTCCTGACTTGATTTTTAGTTGTTTGACCCCTAGAGTCAAGGTATGCATTGTACTACTCGTCAATTAACCTGCTAGCTTAGCATACCAGTAACCTGTTAACATATCATATCGCAAGCCCATTAACCTGTTATCTTATCATATCACTAGCCTTTTAGTCAAATTTTGAAAATTAGCCACTAGCCAAAGTCTTGGCATAAATAAATGATAGGCCTAATAGCCTACATATAAGATTGATTAGTAAGACGGAAATGACGTCTCACACTGTGGCTGGTCTTCCTGTTAACAGTCATAATGCTCACGCACCCTGTCCAGTTAGGTGACTAAGGAAGGATGAGACGTGCAGACAGTAGTGTCATGGACAGGCTGTACATCCGTACCTCTCAGGAAGTTTATATTAAAGGCTGGCAAAGAGCAGGGTGGGATTCACTGTTAACGAATGTGAAGTGTTAAAGCTGATCCGGGTGACGAAGGAAGGAAGGAACAAGGTGAGGGTGCATATAGAATTTGTGTGTGACTCTCTGATTGTTTTACAGGGACACAGCAGGGCAGGAACGATTTAGGACGATCACCACAGCGTACTACAGAGGCGCTATGGTAAGACACTATTGGCTACTTCTCATGTCTGTGGGGAAGTGTTGATCACTGAAGATGGATGTTTCATATTTCTGCTTGCTTTGTTTTCAGGGCATTATGTTGGTATATGACATCACCAGCGAAAAGTCATTTGAGAACATTAAAAACTGGATACGCAACATTGAGGAGGTAACATTGAGGAGGAATATGTTCACATATACAGTGGGTACGGAAAGTATTCAGACCCCCTTAAATTTTTCACTCTTTGTTATATTGCAGCCATTTGCTAAAATCATTTAAGTTAATTTTTTTTCCTCATTAATGTACACACAGCACCCCATATTGACAGAAAAACATTTGAGTACTGTGCTTGGTCACGTATGTTGAATTGATAAAGTATTATCATTTAGATTATAAAACCGATTTGGTCCAGGTTGGTCAATACACTGCTGTCCGATCATATTAGGGGGTCATTGTATAATAGGTTTGCTAGCCACTCTATTAATTTCTATCAAATATAATTTATTGTTTATTTGCTACATTTGTTAGAGAATTTAATTTCTTTTAACTGTAACTTGAAGAACTGCTGAACTTCTCAATTACTCATTTCAGCATGCATCATCTGACGTAGAGAAGATGATCCTCGGAAACAAATGTGACATGAACGACAGGAGACAGGTGTCCAAAGAGAGAGGAGAGAAAGTGAGGCCTCTCACGTCTAACAAGCTTACAGTTTTCCATACAAATAATACATTATTTAAAGTTAATAATATAAAATGAATCTATTAACATGAAAAATTTATTTTAAAATGTCATTCTTGTAACACTACCTGTTTATTATAGGTATGTTATTTCGAATCAGATATACAGTATTTTGAGTGAGATTGGATATAATTTTAAATGATATATTTTGTATTTTTTTCTGGTAGTTTTTTTGTTAATAACTGTTGTCATTTTTGCCTTTTTGTCCAGTTGGCAATTGATTACGGGATCAAGTTTTTGGAAACAAGTGCAAAAAACAGCATAAATGTCGAAGAGGCCTTTTTCACACTTGCCAGAGACATTATGGCTCGACTTAACAGAAAGATTGTGAGTGCTTTTTGAAGTTTTTTTTGTAAAACTGGCAAAAAAAGAGAAAAAAATTGTGTATTTTACTAGATATCATTTATCATTATTTGTATAAAAAAAATAATAATAATAATTAAAAAAAAATTTATCATTGTTACAATAAATCACGTTTTAAAAGGGTATTTTATAACTCCATATTTTATAACAATTTTAAAACTGCATTTAGTTTGATATTGGTTGAGCAGGTACAAAAAGTGCAATACTTGATATCATTTACCATTAATTGTACATCAATTATTTAAAAAAAATTCTTACAATTATTTTAAACATGGATCATTGTTACAATGAATCAGATTTTCAAAAACAGTCACTACTGGAGGTAAAACATTATTTTATAATTGCATTTAGTTTGATATCGGTTCAGCAATTAAGTACAAAAAGTCGCAGGATTACTTTTTTAAAATTATACACATTTTTTGGCAACCCTAATATAATTATCATAATTTATTTTTAACATGTTTTAACAGCAAAATTTAAATATTTAAATTTTTCTATTGACTAGAATGATGGTGGTCAAGCAGATAGCGGGGGTCCTGTGAAGATTTCAGAGAAGCGCTCCAAAAAGCACAGCATCTTTAAGTGCGCTCTGCTTTAACTCGCTGTGTATCTGCGGCAGCCAGAAATGCTCAGCTGGTATAACATATCACATGAGCTCCTGCAAAGAGCTGGACTATCAGGCTCGAGAACGAATGAAGGTTCGTGTTTCCAAGCCCTTAAAGTCAAGATGGAACAGAGGAATGATGCAATTTTGAGAGATTTAGTCGGTTAGCTCAGTGATAGAGTCACAATAGGAAACGTTTCCATTGTTGTGTGGTGATAATCGTGATGATTGTGTCAAAAGATAATGGATCACATATGAATGTTTTTTTTTTAAATGTTTTTGTAAAATATTATTTGTGGATACAGCACATGCTGTCTTAAAACATTTGCTGCTGAAGGCTTAGATGTATCATGTACAGTATTTCTGAATTAGTCAGTGAGTCTTGTTGTAATATGTTTTTGAGTGTCTTTTATACAGCATAAACACTGTGTTCTTGCACTGGTTCAAAAAAAAATTAATAGAGAAGATCTGTAAAATGCAATTTTTGGAATGCTAGTGGGTTAAAGCACTTTACATGTGTTTTTAATGAGCTCTCCTCACAGGCACATGTCCATGTATAGCACAGACAGACATCAATCCATCTGCAGTAAGGTTGCAAAGACAGAACATGATGCTGCAGTGCATGGTGGGGAGAAGGAACCTCTTCAGGTCAGGTATCAAAGGGAACACATCTTACTTGGCAAAGTCACCCATAGGAAGTGTGTGTGTCTGACAGCCAAACCTGAGAACCATCAGTGTTAAGGAAATAAGATAAATTGTGCCTGTGCTGTACTATAGATCCTTTGCCTTTGGGTGATAAAATTCCCCAAATTCAGTCTAGCACTGATTTGTGAAATTTATGTTAAATGTTTTGAATATGAAGATGATCATTAATGATTTAATTAATGTTTTAATTTAAAAACGGGCTGCTTGGCCATGTAAAAGCAAGTATAGAGACTAAGGTCCTTGTGTCAATGCTACAGTATGTTTTGTATTTTGCTAAGCAAGAAAGCCACTAATGCATTTTTGTCAGGACCACTATTGTCAAAGATGATTGACAATTAGCATACAGTTTGAATTGGCGGTATGGTTCTGTTCTGGGCAAGAACTCCCTGCGCATCCATGCAGCCTAGCATGGATGAGAGCAGGGAGAGCAGCAATAACCCCCCCAGGGTAAACAGAACAAAACCAACATAAATGTATTGCAGATATCGTTAAAGTTCAATAATGTTATGTACACATTTTAGAATTAGTCTGATTCAAGGGATAATCAGAAGGCTAAATCCTGACTGACAGAGGAGGAGCTGGGGATGGAGGAGGGTAATTAGCTATTGAGCAATGTGAAAACTGCTGATAATACTGAGGGACCTTATATATGAATGCTTAGATAGGTGTCGTATTCCTATAGGTAGATGGGGATCAGCTGAGAGTCAGCTGATGTGAGCTTGACCAACGCTACGCTTGATGTTTATGAAAATTCATTAACGGAAACTGTTTTTTGATCGTGGTTGATGTTTTGTATTCCAGGTTGATATTTCTCACCTTTTAGCTCTTTTTCATTTTTTGATCGATAACATCCAGTGCATAATGTTATATATTCAATGTTCAAGCAACCTTTATTTACTGTTTACAAATTTGTTTCACCATAGGCTCTTAAATGAAACATACAGTTGCCAAAAAAGTGGTATTATTTGTTTTTCATGCTTGTACTGTCATTATGTGTAGTTGTTTTTGTCAAAGGATGCAGGGTGAATGCAGTTGGTTAGATCAGCACTTTTGTTTTCAAACATGCGAGACATTTTGGTATCCTATTCAAACTGCACTGATAGTTGTGTCAGATGAAGTAGTACAGAATACAGCAATAAAACGTCCCCATTTGGGAATTCTCTCTTTAGACTAATGCTGATATTGGGAACCTTAATGGAACTGTGTCCATTAATCATTTGTAAGTCGCTTTGGATAAAAGCGTCTGCTAAATGACTAAAATAAATGTAATCTGTGTTGGACTGTTTGAATCTGGTTACCACTTAAGTACATTGAACGAAAGTTTTAGTGATCATCATTTTATTTCGACAAATGTAGCGTATATCATGACCACTGATATTCAGATGGGACCATTGTTATGCATGAATTTTCATTCATATTTGTAATTGTATGACCGAATTTTTAAGAGATAACTGTGTTATATAATGCTATCTGTTACCTGAAAAGTTACTATATGCTCATTCAAACGTGTTAAAACCTTAACAAAGAAAATGTGAACAAGAATTTGAAGTGTGGTTTTATTAATTGTAGACTTTTATACTAAATATAACCAAAGTAAATACTGTATAAACCTGTCTTCATATTTTTCAGCTTATTTTTCCAATTTGTGTCATCTTTCTTCCAGCAATTCATCATCCAGAACAGCAGATGGTGCTATTACACAATCTTATCCCAACAATGAACAGAATGCACCACTCGTACAACATGCCAACTACAAACATTTTGCATTGGGGTAGACTCATTTTGTCCTTTCACTAGTTCACTTCGCATAGCCTTACTTTTTAGCCCATAAATTATCATTACATTTTACCAATCAGAAAACATCTGAACCATAACACATAAATGGTGTGATGAAGACGAGAACAGGTAGCAAGGATACATACTGCCACATAATGTATTTTGTACCTTAAATAAGCACACAAATAATGGACAGTTGATACTATGGCTTTAGAGTTTTACTACTCAGTTAACTCGATCACAACACCTGATTACGTACTCTTGATGCAAGTACATAATGTTACAGGTGGATATACAGAATATAAAATGTGTCGGTCTTTGTTGAATTTATCTTCTTATCGGACTTTCACTGGAGTGTCTGATTATGGTTTGTTTGATGGTGCATCGTTTGTTGTGTTCTGTGCTGGTGAACCTGGATCATCAGGAGAGTCTCCATATGCTCCAGCAAGGTCTCTTTCACTGCTTGATTCGTAGGCTCTTTTTAAGCTGTTTCCTAAGGTCATGCAAGGTTTTGTGGACCAGCTCTTAGATCTTCCGGGGAGAAACATTGTGTCTTCTGGCAGAAGCAGATGGCTACCATCAGCTTGGACTTCAGAATCAAAGGGACCTACACCTGTTGGTATCTCCTCTGTTTTCTGTCCATCTTGCTTCTCTGAACTTTCCTCCTTTCCAAGTCCTCCTTCAGGATCATCTGGTTCCTTTGTCACCTCCTGCTCAATATCTTTCAGGCATTTGTCCACATCGTCACTACCCTCTTCCCGTTTTACCTGATCTATATCTAGCGATGCCTGTCTACCAGTGATCTCTCCTGCGTTTCTTATCCCATCTTCAATTATTGACTGAGCACTTTCATGATTCATTGATCCACCTGAACTGTCCAGTGTCTTCTCCCCATCTTGCATTCCCATGTCCTCTTTACTGTGTCTAGAAGAAACTCTCAGCATCTGTTGCTCAGGCTGGTCAGAAGGTTGCTCTACTTTGAAACTGTTGCTAAACTGGTCAGTCTGGTCTACCAAGGGTCTTACCATTGATACCTTTGGCATCTGACCAAAAAGACTAGGGTGTACCTTGTACTCACAGCCAGCACTCCAACGTCTTGTAGCTGGAGACCCATCCATTCCTTCTCCTTCTTGATTTGCTTCCTTTCCACTTGCTTGATCAAATGAGATTGTGCTCCAACACCTTCGTACAGTGGATGGGGATATGCTTTGTATTTCTCCAGGATAGTATTTCAAGTCAAGTCAAGTCACCTTTATTTATATAGCGCTTTTAACAATACAGATTGTGACAAAGCAACTGAACAGCATTAATTAGGAAAATAGTGTCAATAATGCAAAGTGACAATAGTAAACACTCATTTTTCAGTTAAAGACAGTTCATCATTGAATTCAGTGATGTCAACATCCAGCTTTATAATAGTAGCTTGGTGGAGTAGACTCATTTAGACCAATATAATCATTAGGTTTTAGCCAGGTTTCAGTCAAGCAGAGTACATCAAAATGATTATCTGTGATCATTTCATTTACAATAACTGCTTTGGGTGAGAGTGATCTAATGTTTAGGAGCCCAAACTTTAAAAATGGTTTTTGTTCATTTATTTTAAATTGTTCTGGTTTAATCACGATCAGATTTTTTCTAGATCCTGCATTAAATTTATATTTTGACCTCACTATTCGGGGAACAGACACAGTCTTTATAGATTGGACAGCACAAGTACTTCTATCATTTAAGCGGGTAGAACACAAGTCATCAGGGCAGTTATTTGAGATTTGACTTACTAGTCACATGGAGCGCAGCGTCCTGGAGATGTTGTCCGACATGAGCTCCGCCCCGACTCTGCTGGGATGTAGACCATCAGCGCGAAACAGCCTAGGATGCTTTAATATTTGAATGCTTTAACATTTTCTAGAGAGTAGGAGGTAGTTGCCTGAAGTTTTACTCTCTCCGTCATCAATGCTTCTTTCTTTGTTGCATTATCCGAAGATGTCTGGTTGTCAGGAACTGTAGATTTTGGTGATTCTGGCATTGTCCCTTCAACCTCAACACTCTTATCACAAGGGAAGATTCGGATGTCCACACATGAGCCAAGGCGTCTTTTTACCCCTGGAACATCTACCTCTAGATTCTGGCCATATTCCTTTGTGTTGAGGTTTGTAGTGCTTATTGTTTTACTCAGATCTGCCTCTTTATCTTCAGGTGGACGGTCATCAACACCCAGGTAATAGCGGTACAGGCTGTACCCATCAGCACTGTTGATGCTACTGTGACGTTGGAGAGAGGAGGGGTCACAAATAGAAGAGGCTGTTGAGCGTGCCCGGGTCAATTCAGAGTGGTCGATTCCCACTAGTCTTTCCAAGGCATTCACCATTCGGCCATTAATGTCTTCCAGTTGGGACAAACGAAGGTCTACGGTCTGAATGGAGGCCTTCATTGTGTTCTCCCTCTCATTTACCTCTTCAAGGCGCATGGACATGTTCTCCACCCTGAGCAGGAGCAAGAAGAGAATGTAGATGTGATGATTGCCTAGATAAAAGTTTGCAAACTGGGATTGGAAGTGATTTACCTGTATTCCTGTACTGAAATTACCTTTCATTTGTAACCCTGATACGCTCATCATTTGAGGACTGTTGCTCATCTTCTTTCTCCCTGAAATATTCCTCCACACATTGCTCCTCAAACTCATACAGCATCTTTAGCTCCTCCGTGGTAAGAATAAGCTCTTTATGAGGAAAAGAGAATACATTCAAATATTGTTCTCATGTTCGGTTTGAGTTGATTACTCACATGGACACCTGCATCTTGATCCTTTGTAATTTGGTCTAGTTATTTTTTTAAACTTACTTAATCCTTTATCCTTTTCATCTAGTTCTCCCTCCTTTTTCTTTCTACAGCGGCAGCAGAGTTTGCGGAAAAGAATGTAGAGGTGGCTAAAGATAATCATTGGTGGAGGTAGCACAGGCCTGTCATGGAAGGTCATGATGAGCTGATATCTCTGAAATTTCCAAACCTGGTTGGAGATGGACTTAACCTCAAAGAACGTGTTGCTTTAATGGGATGAAAAGCATAGCAAGTAGCAAATCAACACCACTGAACTGTTACTAGATATAGAGCAATGAAGACATTTTTGTAAAGACCTATAGCCTCAAAATATGTTTCTTACACTGTTTGGTTTTTTACATGCTTCAAGTGAAATAGGTAATCAAAACCATGAAATGGTAGCATTCTTACTTGAAGACAGCAATGAGCAAGTTCACAAGCAGGATGTTGGCCACTAACAAATAACAGGCCATGATGGCTGGAGTCAACCAGGCTCCAGGGATGCAGGGTGGAAGCTTTTTCCCATCCTCATCATATAAATTTTCTCCACAGGGGGCTGTTTAAAAAAAGCTCTCTTGTTACATTATAGTACCAGCAATCTTTCTGTTCCACATTCACAACAATTCCAATGCCATTATAGCATTTGTAGGGTTATTTTTCATGACAACAGTGTTTATCGTTGTGACAAATGTTTTGCTTACGATTTATTTCCATTGCGTAAACTTGAGGACATTCCAGAAGGGCAGAATAGACACGAACAGTCAGTGCAAGTGGAACCAGAAACAAGACCAAAGAGTGCAACAAGAATTATTCAAATCCAACATCTTAATCAAAAGACAGGCAGGATAATCAACTATAAACTGCTACAATCTGTATGAAGAGCAATGGCATACAGTCTGAAATACTGAAATAACCACAAATTGACTACAAATTTTTCTGTCTCCAAGTTTGAAAGTTATTAGACTGAATATTCAAAAGGTTTGAGACCTAACTCAACAAGAAAGGCACTAGACATGTTGTTATAGGGTAAACTGCAAACAGCAGAATCACATAGGTGACTGGGATATTAGTGAGGTATTTTGAAGGTGGATCGTGTTAAAGGCTATCTATCTACCCTGGAGGCAGAAAGCAAAATCTTACTATGAATTCTAGTCTTACGGTCTATCGAATCTGCAAACACCTCTCCATAGATCATCCAATAAGGCATGTAGAAGATATTGCGGGCCAAGCGCCATGTTGGCTCCTCGTCTGGGTGTAGAATAGCCTGCCGTGCCACACCGAAACTCATCAGGACCACCAACATGATCACCACAAAGTACAGCATGTCAATCATCTGCAAGACAGGTGGCAGCTTATTATATTCAAAAAGTCCATATAGTTGACAATCACGTGTACTAGGTCTAGAAGTATAATAGATTTAGTAAAATGAATTGCGTTACCATTTTCCCTATCATCATGACATAAGGTCCTAGGTACTTGTTGACTCCAAATATGTCCAGTACGCGGATATACCAGAAGATTGTGTCTACGCAGTAGATCACACGGCCGTAGCCCATGTAGGGTTCATTTTGCAGCCTAAGAAGTAGGCCAAGCAAGAAGGTAGAGATGGCCGCCAGGTCTGTGATGTTCCAGTACTCCTCTAACCACACGTTTATCTTTTGCCTGAGCTTGCCTGGTTCTGACATCAAGATCTGGAAGAGATAGTACCAGATATAGGCTACAAGCTGATTATTTGCTGTTGAGTTTGGGTTAATTGAATTGTTTTTGGATCGATTTCTAGAGCTGTGGGTGCAGTGGTGTTTTAAGGAGAGAGATGCACATCTTTACCTGTCTGACTTTCTCCAACCCCAAAGTGATGATGTATGAAATGACGAACCACTCTTGTATAGATGGCCAACGCTCCATCTTCACCAGTACTATGTAATTGTACAGCATGAGATAGCCAAGGTAGGAAATCTGTCTAATGCAAACTGATTTTAAATTTCAATATAGTTTTATTTATTATTTTAATAATACAGTAAAAAAATGGGTAAAATATAACCATTATTTTCTAAAAATAAAATAAAGTATTCTACAATATATTCTACTCAATATGTTCAGGGTATTTCCCTGCCTTTGGCCCAAAATGCTGGGATGAAATAAGATAAACAGTTTGGAAAATGTATGAATGGACACATTTTTTTACTTACAGTATTGAACCAAAATTTGGTGAAAGGTGCATTGTAGAACTCAAAGATCTTTGTTCCAATTGGAATCCGCCTCATTTTCTTATTACCTTCCTCCTCGTCTCCTTTTTTAGAGGCTGCATCTGCATTGGCATCCTAGATGTACATGAGGTGGTTATACAATAGGCAGAATTCATAGAAACTGCAGCCTCTCTAAAATCCGAATCATCCTGGATTTGTTTTAACCAAACCAAACATAAGATTAAGAAGCCGTTTGATGCAGCATTAACCTCTGAGCTAGAGTTCCCGGACTGTTTTTCCCCCACAAAACTAACCACAATTACTGAATTTTTGATAAATTCGTAAAACAATAGAGTATCTGCAAACTACATATGCTTTCTATTATTTAATCCTTCCATATTCTATCTGCATCATGTGTGTCATGCAAGACCTGTGGTTACTGATGGATTAAGCTCATATTATGTTGGGTCAAGAGCTTTCAGTTATGTACGCTACACTGATCTAATAAAGGAGGGGTTTGTTTAAATAGAAGGAGTGGTGCCGTTTTTACCCGGCCGGACTTATCATCATCCTTGGTCTTCCTGTCCTCATTTTTTGCAGTGACATGATGAGACGTGTCATCACCCAGACGGAAATCCAACAGCAGGATAAAAGGTGGGACAATGAGGCTGAGGATCACCTGGGGTTTGCAGAAACAGAAAAAAGGCATATTACAATCAAGAAATAACTTATATCCAATTGTCTTTATTATTATATATATTTCCAAATGAATAACTCTACACACAATCTCAAACTCAGGGTTTCTACAGGTTTTGTGAAGGTAAATGTATAACTTTTAAATACCTTTTTAAGCCCAAGTAAAGAAAAACATAGGGAATATATAGAAGGGCACACAAAGAAATTCATAAAATTAAGTAAGTTTATGATTAAAATAAGAACAAATATCTGCTAGTTTCAAGGGAAAAACACCCCACTGCCAGATATTTGTACTTGTTTTAAGCATGAACTAAATTTTCAGAAAACAAGACTTTGCATCTCAAGTAAATGCATCTTGATTTAAAGATGTTTAGATATTTGTACTGGAAAACAAGACGGAAATAATCAGCAAGATGTTCATATGTTGCAGTACATATAATATTTAATGCCATGACTTTATAAAATGTATGACTTGTCTTTCTGCTCCAATTTAAGACCACTTTAATGCCTTAATTTGTGGAAGGGCAAATTATGACCTTTTAAGAACTGCTTTTTTTTTTTGGAAATGTCAAAAGAAAATGCCTTACCTTCAGTCCTGGGTTTTTACCCATCCTCAGGCTGCCCATCCACATGTCAGTGAGGAGCATCTGGCTGCAGGTGTGGGCTATGAAGTATCTGTGCTTGGCAGCCACTGCAAGCTTCAGACAGGTAGAGTTACTCCAGTTCTTTAACTCGTATGTCAACAGTTTCATGGCTAGCTGCTCATCATGTTTGTAGGACTGATCCAATAACTCATAGGCCAATGTTCCAAACTCCCTAAAATTACAAGAAGAGCAATTTTACTGTGTAGAATACTTTTTTTCAGTGTTTAAGTAACAAAATTGTTTTAAGACTGTAAAACAGTTTAAAAAAAAAGAACACTTAGCATAGCATTTTAGCATTTAGATATGAGTTGTACTATTGACTACATATTAGTGAACCTGACTTGAAAGGGGCTTTGCATCAACTCACTTGGAGTTGTTATCGAGGTCCTGGGATATGTCGTCCACCATCTCACTCTGAGACGACTCGTGAGCCATAGCTTTGAGGAGCTTACAGGCCACCAGAGCTTTAGCCATACCCTCCTCGCCCCTCTGCCACAGGAACAGAGACATCTTCTGCCTTTTCATCAGCACCGCCCAAATCATCAGCTCATGGAACGGATACTGGAAGCGGCTGACTTCTGGGTCATCCACGTCAATGTCCTCTTCTTCTTCTTTCTTCTTCTTTTGCTTCTTCTTGCCTTTTGCCCTAGGCTCATCATCCTAATGAGGTGAACAGGATATTTATATTAATAGAGATATTGTGTGATCTCACTGAGAATGTAAAAAGAACGTCAAATATTTGACATGTACCTCCATTCCAAGCAGCTTTAGGGCTTTAGGCTGGAAATAAAGCGACATTAGATTGCTTAGACTATTTGTGCACACTTAAAACATTTAGTAATTTGAGTAATCTCTATAGCTGCGTCCCAATTCAGAGGCTACGTCCTTCGATGGCTGCATTTGAAGACTGATTGTATCACCGCGGCGCGACGATGGCTTTTCTAAATCAAAGGCTCCTTCAAATGCAGCCTCAAAATGCATCCTTCATTTTCCAGGCAATGAAGGATACAACAGATGGATCCTTTGCGGCCTAGGCTATCCCGAAATTCATTGTGCGCCGATGATGACAAGATTTTTTAAGAGAAAATGCCAGATTTCTCTTTTCATTGTAAGTATTGGGTTTCAGCTTACTTGAATATATATAATGGTCCAAATGTCCAAATGTGAGATTTTTTTTAAAGCTGTTTAAATTTTGACATATCTTACTAAGATTCCATTTTATAGATGGTTTATACTTGTTATTATGCACATAAATGGACCAAGGTGAGCATATTTAGACAGGTTGTGAACCCTGTTTTCAGTCTGTTGAATATCACTTTCAAAAAAGTCCAGCACAAACGTTCTGTCACAAACTGTCACAGTTGCTAGGCGACAAGATCAATTCTTCATAGGCTAGACCATTTAACAACACTCGGTGTGACCTTCACAGCCTACGAATACGTGACCTTTGAAGTATGAGATATTCGAAGGATGCAGCCTTCAAATTGGGACACAGCTTATGTCTTACCCTCTTTAGTCCATAAAGATTGTTATAAAGAGCTCGGAAGTTTTTTCTTGTGTCAAAAGAAAATGCCTTACCTTCAGTCCTGGGTTTTTACCCATCCTCAGGCTGCCCATCCACATGTCAGTGAGGAGCATCTGGCTGCAGGTGTGGGCTATGAAGTATCTGTGCTTGGCAGCCACTGCAAGCTTCAGACAGGTAGAGTTACTCCAGTTCTTTAACTCGTATGTCAACAGTTTCATGGCTAGCTGCTCATCATGTTTGTAGGACTAATCCAATAACTCATAGGCCAATGTTCCAAACTCCCTAAAATTACAAGAAGAGCAATTTTACTGTGTAGAATACTTTTTTTCAGTGTTTAAGTAACAAAATTGTTTTAAGACTGTAAAACAGTTTAAAAAAAAGAACACTTAGCATAGCATTTTAGCATTTAGATATGAGTTGTACTATTGACTACATATTAGTGAACCTGACTTGAAAGGGGCTTTGCATCAACTCACTTGGAGTTGTTATCGAGGTCCTGGGATATGTCGTCCACCATCTCACTCTGAGACGACTCGTGAGCCATAGCTTTGAGGAGCTTACAGGCCACCAGAGCTTTAGCCATACCCTCCTCGCCCCTCTGCCACAGGAACAGAGACATCTTCTGCCTTTTCATCAGCACCGCCCAAATCATCAGCTCATGGAACGGATACTGGAAGCGGCTGACTTCTGGGTCATCCACGTCAATGTCCTCTTCTTCTTCTTTCTTCTTCTTTTGCTTCTTCTTGCCTTTTGCCCTAGGCTCATCATCCTAATGAGGTGAACAGGATATTTATATTAATAGAGATATTGTGTGATCTCACTGAGAATGTAAAAAGAACGTCAAATATTTGACATGTACCTCCATTCCAAGCAGCTTTAAGGCTTTAGGCTGGAAATAAAGCGACATTAGATTGCTTAGACTATTTGTGCACACTTAAAACATTTAGTAATTTGAGTAATCTCTATAGCTGCGTCCCAATTCAGAGGCTACGTCCTTCGATGGCTGCATTTGAAGACTGATTGTATCACCGCGGCGCGACGATGGCTTTTCTAAATCAAAGGCTCCTTCAAATGCAGCCTCAAAATGCATCCTTCATTTTCCAGGCAATGAAGGATACAACAGATGGATCCTTTGCGGCCTAGGCTATCCCGAAATTCATTGTGCGCCGATGATGACAAGATTTTTTAAGAGAAAATGCCAGATTTCTCTTTTCATTGTAAGTATTGGGTTTCAGCTTACTTGAATATATATAATGGTCCAAATGTCCAAATGTGAGATTTTTTTAAAAGCTGTTTAAATTTTGACATATCTTACTAAGATTCCATTTTATAGATGGTTTATACTTGTTATTATGCACATAAATGGACCGAGGTGAGCATATTTAGACAGGTTGTGAACCCTGTTTTCAGTCTGTTGAATATCACTTTCAAAAAAGTCCAGCACAAACGTTCTGTCACAAACTGTCACAGTTGCTAGGCGACAAGATCAATTCTTCATAGGCTAGACCATTTAACAACACTCGGTGTGACCTTCACAGCCTACGAATACGTGACCTTTGAAGTATGAGATATTCGAAGGATGCAGCCTTCAAATTGGGACACAGCTTATGTCTTACCCTCTTTACTTTTTTCCTCTGGCCTTTCCTTTGTTACGTTGAGTTGCTCCTTTCTGCTTTTCATGAAATGGTGCTGCATTGGTGGAGATGGCACTAGCGAGGGTGCTCGCAGGCTATGAAAAAAAACATTTTTACTTAAGAAAGGTCTTTATGAAATAATTTTTTAAATTATTATTTAGAAACAAGGTAAATATTTCACTCACTGGTAGATTGTGTCCATACACAAAGATTTGGTTGCGTGCTATATCCACTCTATTCCAAGCCAGAGCCAAGCTCAGCTGATCTGGAGCTGATGCGTTGGTTCCTGAATTACAACCAACACACATTATAGTTCCTTTCTAACCATGAACTAAATTTGTGGTATTTCAGAAGGTCCGCATTTTCACGATACCTTTCAGTAAGGCAGTGAGGATAGCCATTTCAATGTCATCTTGTCCCTCAGCGCCTATTCGAAAGACTGTTATCTACACATACCAAGTTACACGGGGCAGCAAGACTTTAATATATTGACACTTTCATACATATTTATTTTGGGTGAGGAATGAATTACTGTGGTGAAAATGAATGGAAAATCTGTTTTTAGGATGAAAGTTCAGCTTAATTTTATTAGCATTAGCAGGACCTACTTATTCACACTCTGAATAACTAGCTTATTTCCCTCTCAAATGAAATAATACAGCTTTCCTTGTTTAGGATGTCTTGTATCAAATATAATTACCTCGAAGTTGCAGTCACATGTACGTTAATGTTAAATATAATCACAATGGCATGGATGAGTGGCCCTCTTCCAAAACATTCCTGAGTGTTAGCATGCATCGCTAATGAGAGACTTATGGTGGAGTCTGGGCAGTTAGATTTGTACCTCATGGCTCCAATGGGAGGGGCAACACCTTAAATTGAACTCTTTATAATATTTTGAGAATGAATGCTAGTTCATTTCCTGTTTGATATCTCGGTTTAAGCAAACCATTTGGACACAGATGAAAAACACTAGCATGCTTGCTTTCATAATAATAGCGTCTGCTAAGCTATCAATAGTCATGTTTAAAAGTGGGCTTGAAAGTTGAATGTACATTTATTTCCCTATTCATATAAACCATAAAAGGCTTTATGTATGTGGACATTTGAGCTCTTAACATACATTAGCATTGGCATTTCATGTAAAAACACTGCTGTGGAAGGCCATTAGCCTATCTAATGCCAGACATCGAGATGTGAAGTCACTGAAATAAGAGGAGGAGATGTTCAGTGTGGATTAGAGAGAAATGGATCCACCCTCCCCTCCCCCCATCTGCTCATATTCAGGAACAGGGTGAATGAATGTAGCTCGTCTGCAAGAACAGGTGGCACTACGCTGATCCTAGTCCAGATCTATAGAGCTACAGATTATCTCCTGTCCTGAGGCAGTATTACTAAATACTTAACACATCACTTAGCCTCAGTTAAAGCTGCACAAATATTACCATTAACCAAGTTCCCAGAGTGCACTGGGTCATCCTGTAGGTGATATAGGTAAGTATCTAGTGATTGTGAAGTCTGTTCTAACGTATGGAGTCTGAAAGCACTTGTACTCTGTTAATCACAATGGTCTCATATCTGAGACCTGATTAGAGCACCTGATTAGAGCATCTGCAAAATGCTTATGCATATGAAAGGATGTGATGTGACATGATGTTACGTACCTGGTTAATACAACTAGAGAGCAAATGCAGATGGATATATGAGAGAAACACATGAATAAAGACACATGACAAAATGAATAATGAATGGAACTGTTTATTGATGAAAGTTTGCACAAAGAATTAAAAAAATATAACATAATATAAAAAATATAAAAAAACTTTTTATGCTTAGTTATTTTTATATGTATATTATTATGCTGTTTTAAATGTATATTTGAAAAGAAAAAAAGTAAAACCAGCTCATTTCCTAGTCTTAGCTGGTTTAGTCTGGTCTCCCAGCCTGGCCAAATTGGTCTTAGGCAGGTCTCCAAGCTGAAAAGTATCCAAAGCCAATCTGAAACAAGAAGACCTGACCAGAATGGGAGACACACTAAGACTATCTTAGGCTTAAGCAGTTTTATCAGGGAAGAAAATGAGAGTGGGTTTGTGTTGATGGATGTTGGTCTACAATTGCTACATGATCTTACGTGATTGTAGATACTTACCAACTCCCTCTTCTTCATGCATTCAATGACCATGAGCAGAATTTGCCCAGACTGCATTTTGTTGTAGTTAAAGGTTTTCTGGATGGTGACCAGCAGTTGCTCTTTTACGTCCTCATTTACCAGTCTAAAAAATACAAGTCAGTTGTGATAATGAATAGTTTTGACAACTGATTTTCAGTCTTTCCATTAAAGATGGGTCAGTACTAGAAATGTATGGGATAATGTGCATGTAGCTAGTCATTAGTGGACATAAACCCCTACGGAGGGATCAGGACCCCTTTGGGGTGATGCAAAGTGTTCAACTGATCTTAAATTAATTATTTAATTATTTCTAATTTATATCAACATTTATAGTTTCAACATTTGAAGACAGAATGACGCTATTGATAAATCAGAATCAAGTATTCCAGAGATCAGTGTAATAATAACTATTAATACTCACCCTTCAACCTCAGAATATTTGTGGGCAAAGGAAATTATGTCAGAGGCTCGACCACTGCCATCACAGACCACTACAGGCACTGGCGGTTCCTCACGCAGGCTTTCCAAGACAATCGAGATCACATTGGGACCCCCCTCCACAATCAGACATACCACCGGTACACCCTGGCCCAGTCCTAACATGCAGACACAAAAAAAAGCAATTAACTTACCTAAATGTTTAGAATTTCTTAGTACAGGGATTGTGCACATATCAATATAATACTATTACAAAACATTAGCCTGAATGTTTGAGCCTTTTGGGCGTTTTGTGCTTTAAATCTTATTTTCAATTACTCCAAATGCATGCACATTACATATCAAAAAGCCCTTTGGTGATTAACAAAAGGAGAGGTATTTAAAAGTCAGAGAAGTGGTGAGTATAATCATTTTAATTTGACTCTCCCGGGTCTGATCCCAGATGACGATGTGAGTGGTGACAGCTGAGCCTCCCTTTGCTTTCCCTGCCTTATCACGAGCTCCAGGCATAGGATGACAAAGGGAAACCCACAGGTCACAGACACCAAAGCCTTGATCAAATCTGAAATGGCATGGAGCATATCTCCATTGGTACCTGACCCCATGAACCCTATTACTGATAATCAGGATATATGTCATGTCATTCAAACCCTTAGCAAGCTTTCAAATGTGCCCTCTTAGGATCAGAGGTACATTAGACCTAAAGCAGATAAGATTTGCTGATGCTACCGCACTTACGCGTGTTAATCTTCTGGAGGGAGATGTGTTTCTCTAACTGCCTGCGTAGTTTGACCTCCGCCCCATATTTCCCACATGTGCCATTATCGGATAGTATTAAGTGCGAGTGGCTATTGTTGAGAACGGCAAGTTTGCTCAGAGGATTGGAGATGGCCTGATATGGTTTGTTCACCTGAAAAGGAACAGTAAATTGTGGATGTCACTGGACAAGTAGACGACGTAGCATAGTGCCTCAGGAGATTATTATTTCATATGTTTATAAGCACCATCATGCTTTTTACTATACATCAATAGTTTGTGCTTACATCTTTTCCAATTAGATCCTCTTTGCTCTCCAGGATTCCCCATGGAGCGATACCTATAGCACAGACCTTCCCTCTGGATTTCGAAGAGTGATCCTTCAAAGCATCTCCAACGTGCCGGATCACTCCTACATTGTAACAGTGTCATAAAATAGATTAGGAAACTATATGTGATATCAAATCAATTAAATATTTCTCAAGAAACCAAATAGAAGATGGATCCAACATTTGGTTCCAACAAGGGATTTCAACCATGTGGATTGGAATCGTAGTTATAGACCTGAGGTGAGCAACTCCTTTTCTGGAGGACCACTGTCCTGCAGAATTGAGCTCTATCCCTAATTAGCACACCTTTTCTAGTAATCCTGAAGACTTTGGTTAGATTTCTCGGGTATGTTTGGGGATGGAGCTAAACTTTGCCGGACAGTGGCCCTCCAGGACCAGAGTTGCCCATCCCTGTTGTAGTCAATAAATACCCACCAGTGCTGACTCCACCAGTGAAGATCCATGCTCCGGTGGTCACTGCAGCCTTGATCAGGCCTTTTCCAAAGACTTGCTTGAGTTTGGGCTGCAGGTCAAAGTTCTGGAGGCCACCATGAACTGATATAAGCAGTGTGGGCAACTCCAGCTGCCATTCCTTTACCATGAGATGCAGCAAGTTGTCCGGCTTAGTATCATATGACACCCGAATATACTGTAAGAAATATTGAATTATAAGATTAATGCCAGATTTAACTGTTGTTCTTGAATGAAATAGGTTTATTTCCTTACTAAGTGAACTATGTTAGCAGGGTTCTTTTCTTACAATTATGTTGCCACAAAAAATGGTTTGGTAGATTATTTAGATTTACATTCTCAAGAGGGAATTCACTAAGAATTTTTTTTATCGCCCTTCACTTACAGGTGGTTATCGAATAAGACTCAGGTTTTTGTGTCAAAATACTAGGTGCAATAATAGTTAGCAAATTCACCCCATAACGTTCAAAATAGATACCATAGCTTTGTTGACAAATCCTCCTCCTTGAAATTCAATGATGCCGTAGGCATCAGTAGGGGCAGTCTGGGTATGTTTAACCACGAACCATTTCTCTTGAGGAGGGTTCACGTGCACAAGCTGGTTCTCTTCTGAGGGCTTGTTGGTGATGGCGCCTGGCGGAATGGCCGGGTGCTGAGTCACTAGATAACCACAGGCGCACCTGAGGAAAATCACAGCAGAAGTAATGCTGGAGGTCTATTTTATTGCATACAACAGGATGTTGCTTACGTAACTCAATTAGCTGACATTTCACCATGGAAATAATTTGGTTTGAGGGTACTGCTTATTTTTCTGTGCACATAGACCACCTATCAGGGTTGTGTCTAAATTGCAGTCTGTGTTCAATGGGCACATGCATCAGTGCACACCCTGGCATCCCTCCACCCACAGGAAGTTTGGTGGACTGAACTATACCGGCCCCATCACATCCAGCCTTGAGACATGCCCACACAGTGATCTATGAAAGGGCTTATGATGTCACACATCACCCCTCATTACATAAGAGTCTAAAAAAGCCTCAAAACAGAATGAGTCATAGAGGTAATTTGTCTCAAACAATGGTGTCATTATATGTAGTTGCGTGTTCTTTTGAAATTGTTCAAAATAGAAAGGCTCACCGTGCTGGGTCCTTGGCTGGAAATATATGAATACATTCTCTTTTGTGAAAGGTTTTCTCAATCCAAGCTTTCTGGCCCTAAGAAACAAACAAGAAAAGACAGTAAATAAAATAAAATAAACAGTAAATAAAATAAAATGAAATAATACTTTTCTGACCCAAAGAAGCAGAAATAAAATAAAATAGTAGTTTGGTTTTACAAACACAAACCTACAACATTACACATATATTTAATATACCATTCGACCATATTAATATATGTATAACATCAATTACAGCAAAAACTGCTTTTAGTCCCTTGGGTTTGCCCAGAGTGAATAGAGTAAATCCTCTTTGCGATGATAATCCTTACTAAAGTATGAGTGGTACACTATGCACAAGCCTTAGATATACAGAACACATGGAAGAGAAAATATGTACATGGCAAATGTCTAAAGTGATTAACTATGGAGACTTCTGGTGAAATGCATTTGTTCATTTGTTTTACCAATGATAAGTGTGCTTTTAGGAATACTAGTACACAGATAATGCTGGTCTTTTACAGTTACCGTAGTCAGCTACTAAAACTGCAAAGCAACTGTTTCTTGTGTCAGGATGTGCAGATACGAGTTGAATGAAAGAGCATCCAGAGAGTCATTGACCATATCCAGGCCTATGGCCTGTTTTGCCTGAAATTATTAGTGCATAACAAATTGGAGTGCAAACTCTGCTCCAGACCATAGTTATTCATCTCTTTTTTCTGTTCTGAGAAGGAGCCAAGGAACCCAACCAACATTTTTAGCTTTCGCAACAGATTCTGCCGTGCCAGCTTTGTGCTCCGCACGCTGGACGAAAATAACCTTTGGTTCAAAGCAATATCTGTCTCGGCTTTTGTTATTGGTTCAGCCCTAATTAAGACAAAAGCTTTTGAGGCAAATCTCCGAAGAAAAATCAGTCACAGTATACTAGCCAAGATAAGAAAGACTGAACACGTTAGAAACCCACAAAAACCATGGCTTTCCATCACACAATTATAAGTATAAAGCAATACATTCATAGTTTATAAAGTTTGTCACCACTTAAATTTTTGTTGCACTTTTTAAACTTAAAAAAAAAACCTTTCTTAAAAGTCATACATTGTTTAACAAAGACAACATTTTATTGGAAACTGCTAATTGTTGTTGCGTCAAGAAAAACATTGTAAATCATTCTCAATTTATATTTTAATACTACGATCTCATAATTCCAATCCTGATAGTTTCTATCTCATCATCTCATCAGTAGACCCTGGATCCATGGGCTGCTCCTGGTCACCCAGCGTTAGCTAGCAGGGGTCTTACCTGTGGAGCCTCTAGTTGACATTAAGAAGGTGCCAAAGAGAATGTTTCTGCATCAGTGTCCCTCCTGGAGCTCCGCTGGTGAGGGGTGCTCTTTCCCAGAGCGCCGGCACCCAATGAATCCCACAGGACACGAAACTTCATCACTTTATGAGGGGCTTTTCATATGATGAGCATGTGAGCAGGCTCTTTGTTCGGGGCACGTCCCATGACTCCAGTTCAAGGTAATCCTTTTGGGAGTCCCATGACCCCTCTCTCCTTGCCCACGGGGTATTTTCCTCCCTCGCTGGAGCAAAGCACAATAAATCCACTTTGACAGCGTCATAACCCCCGTGAAACGCACTTCTTAATTCTCAGAAAACCTTTCGAGGTGGCTTTTCTACCTCAAACACTTTTTGCAAGTTGATGTTGAGAGAGTCAGGTTTGTATCTAGAAACAGACAGGAATGGGAACTCAGCAAAGCTTTTCATTTGAAAGTGTCACACTCCTCCGACCACTTTGATTTCAAGCCCAATTTGCATAATTGAGAGAATTGGGCGCAGACATTCTTTTGAAAAGAGGCCTAGTTGAGACATGACAGGACTCCAGTTGGGGGCAAGGTCATCTAGCACTAATTGTTGAAATGGTTCTGACGGAATAACAATCACGTCTAAGAACTGATGACGCTACTGACTTTAATCTTTTAGCGAATAGACTTTTATACAAAAGAGAAGTCTTGAACCTCATCATCATAGTCGCAAACTCTACTCAATAGAAGTCAGTTTCATCAGTTGATTCGAGAAGTTACAGTTGTGAAAATATTTAATAAAAATATTTAAAAATAATTAATTTTGAGTGAGTTGGTTTCATGAAGTGACCAGTAGTTGGGAAAAAGTAAATCATCAGTAAATCAGTCTAAGCAGGTGTATAGCTGGTCTACTTGCATGACCAGCTTAAAAATGTCCTCAACACAGACCAGCCTAACCAATTTGGCCAGGTATGGAAATGATATAACCACACCAGGCTGGTTTAAAATTATTCAGCAGGGTTGCCTGGTCAACTAACGTGGGGAGATGACACGCAAAACGAAGATGTCCATTTGGCACAAATAGGGCACCTTTATGGGTCAAATAGAAATGGTGAAATCATTGGTTTAAAGTGCTTTTCAATGGGTCCTTTCCTCAACCATCTCACATTTTTGTCAAAACGCACATGGACTAATTAAAGCTCTTGAAGACAAAGGGCTCTTGCCACTGCAGTAGTTTAGCCAGTGTGATGCACTTATTTCAGCTTGTTTAAACTCATTAGCCACAGCAATTAAAACTCAAATCCGCTGAGCGCTCATCAGCTTTGTTCGAGTTTTGCTCAGAAAATGCACAAAAGCTCTCTAGGAGGAAAATCTGATTTTCTTGCTCAAATTAACAAGGCCTATAGCAAACCTGGCAACAATCAACACTATTGAGTCTTTCCACATAGTCAGACATCTCACACGTTGTTGCTCAACTAAAAAGCCGTTTGTTCATAAATAGGATTGCAGCTGCGATTTATGAGAGCTGAAAGGGGGAAATCAGATTAAATGTTTATGCAAATCTTTCCTCCAGATTTTTTTTAGATACAGAAGTCTGCATTTTCACATTATAAAGGCAGAACCCACAAAGATATGGTAAATACAGTAAATACATACTTTCTGAAATTTAGATATAGCATTGCCTGTTCACACGCTTCATGAATTGTATGAGTCTCTCCGAAACACTGAAGATCACATGAGAGGGCAACAGTCCAGTGACCCATTCCTTAGAACTAATGAGCAGTGTGAGATTTGATTTGCACTCACAGTTCAACTCACAACCTTGCAAAAAACACTTCATGTGTATTTAAAATCGTCTGCCTGTCTATTTATATATCCATCCATCCATCCATACATACATAATAAACATCTAGCAAGAGAGACAAATATCTTTTTGTCTTTTTACATAATTTTAAGGTCTTAAACTGAAAAGCTGTATGTTTATTGGGATCGTTGTTTTGATAGTTTCCAATACAGTACTTCCCATTTTCATTTTTAGTTTTCAGTTTTACAGAGGTTATACCAGGTCTGGAGACAATAGGTCTGTGGACTTCTGGGTAAGTTTAACATGCTTAACCTTTTTAAAGCAGTGCTTTCTCCTTCTTACTCTACCTCTAAAAAGACTCATTGTCTGTGTGGGTTTGAAAATCTAGTTAGCCATCATCACATGAGACCAACATGTCACTGATTAGCCTTGAGATTTCTTAGTCATAAGACACATTTTTGGACAACTATGTTTGTGTGAGAGTGTTTTTGTCTGTCTTTGAGAGAGGGGGAAGGGGCAGAGACCGAAAGATAAAAAACTGTATTTTGGAGGATGCATGCATTCGAATGTCAAAGGAAGTGTTGTAGTTACAATCATATCCTTCTTTCCACATTGACTCAGACTGGACACACATCCTTCAAAACTGAGAAAAAGAAAAAGCCAGTTTTTACTGTACTTACAGAAAATAATAAAGGCATTACTTATGGTTACATTTATTCACTAATCACTCATTTGTAAGGTTCGTAATTCCTCACAAGAATATGATTAATGCATTCTGACCTCTTTACCCGCTACTGTAAGATATTGAGTAAATTGCTTAATTTGACAACTCCTACACATATTGCATCAGTCCAAAGTACGACACTCGACATTAGAAAGAGTCTACCATTGTAAAGATATATTTGATTCCTTGGGCAGTTCTGAAGGCTATATTTTCAGTCTTAATCACATGAAAGCAGACATTTGAAAGTAGGAAGGTAACGTGCTTAATCTTGCCTAGCTGCTGGTGCTCATTCTGGGCATTATGGGGGATTAGAGGCAGCGGAGGAGCATCAAACCACAGAGGTGCCACTCATTCTGGTGCTGCTGGAGAAAGCTGCGTTACTTGCTGGAACCACCCTTTTGATCATTAAGATTAGGATTTGGATTAGTAAGAGATTTAAATTCATTTAAAGATGTAAATCTGTTTTATATAATGCATATCTAACATTTTGTTTTGCAACATTGCAACAAGTTAAATTTGCTTTTCAGATTCGTTGGAGCAGCCGTGGTTAAAGCTGCAACTGTAAAGATAATCAGCAAGCTTTAAAGAGAGAAATCTTTTTTTTTATTTTTTGAAATTACATTTTCACATTATCCCTTTTCAAACACTGCAACAAAGGTGCAAATATAAGTGGAAAATGCAATGAGAGCTATAATATAATATATAACTGTTTTTGTATTGTTACTGCATGATGACACATTATAGCAGTAATATTTAAAAATAATTACTATTATTATTATACATTATATATTATTATATTATATATTATTATATACAAATGTATATAATTCAAATCCTTGAATTAGCTGGCCGAATGGTTTTCCTATAATATAATATAATATAATTTTTTTAAACTGAAGTATAAGTTAAAAAGCACAAATATATGTAGAGAAATGATAACAAGCAGCATTGATTTTGCATTAGAAGCCCATTATGAATGTAGTGTCGAAATGTATGGAAATAATTATAAGAATATTTAGACCAAGCTGAATGTCCTCTTCAGTCTTTCACATTCTTACAAGCTGATTGGACGAACACTAAATCCTTCAACTGAGATATAAACCTGTGAAACCTATATATATACAGTGGTGTGAAAATGTGTTGGCCTCCTTCCTGATTTCTTATTTTTTTGCATGTTTGTCACAATTTAATATTTCAGATCATCAAACAAATTTAAATATTAGTCAAAGATAACACAAGTAAACACAACATGCAGTTTTTAAATGAAGGTTTTATTATTAAGGGAAAACAAAATCCAAAACTACATGGCCCTGTGCGAAGAAGTGTTTGCCCCCGCTGTTAAAACTGTGGTTTATCACACCTGAGTTCAATTTCTCTAGCCACACCCAGGCCTGATTACTGCCACACCTGTTCACAATCAAGAAATCTCTTAAACAGGACCTGCCTGACAAAGTGAAGTAGACCAAAAGATCCTCAAAAGCTAGACATCATGCCGAGATCCAAAGAAATTCAGAAACAAATGAGAAAGAACGTAATTGAGATCAACTTTTATTAATATTTAAATTTGTTTGATGATCTGAAACATTAAAGTGTGACAAACATGCAAAATAATAAGAAATCAGGAAGGGGGCCAACACTTTTTCACACCACTGTATATATATATATATATATTTCAGTTGTGGTAATGAATTTATTTTTTTATGGTTTTAGTTTAAGTTACAGTTTTAGTTAACTAAAATAACCCTGCTTTGAATACCTGGTTCAGTAAATCAGTATCATGTCAAATACACCTGACTTCACTCATAAAGAAGAACATATTTTCACTCATTTCAATCATCTCTAGATCACTGAATCAAATCCAAGGTAACAGCCCTAAACCTCCCTAAAGCGGTAGACACTCTTACCTTCTGTGATGCTGAGCGTTTGATGGAGGCCCGTTTGATGGAGCCACTGGCGCTTCTACCTCCCCGCTCCATGTGTCCGGTTCACTCCGCACTTCAGAGACTCATGACCGTGTCGGACCCTCTAAGACCCTCTTTTGCTCTGTCTGTAAAGCGGTCCCTGCACTAGCAGCGCTAAAACTCATCTCCTGATGTTCACTCTTTGGGTTCTCCCGCCCTTAACTGACAAGATAGAAAGACGCATACGAGGATAAAACATCTCTCAATGACACGCTTGACACATAGACCCCGTTTCCTCCGCTTGACAGCCTGTAATAAGGATTAATGCAGCCTGCTCTTGGGAGCTTGCGACTTTAATGGGGGAGAGATTTCATAAATGGTTATTGAAGGTAAATCTACTTTGGGACACTGTGGCCCAAAAAGGTTTTGAAAACATGGAAACTTTGTGAGGATGTGTCTCCTGGACTTTGAAGACTTGAGTTACGATAAGAAAGCAGGTAGGCCTGCCCTAGACTAACTGTGAAATCTCTGAATTAGTGGTAAAGTTTTAAGAGAAAGTCTGTGAGGACCAAAGGTTTTGCAAACGGTAACAATATTTACCTGCTTAGATCATGGTGATCTTATTACAAATGTGCTAGTATTTTTTTCTTTTTGTTAAAGGTAAGAAAACCATGTTAATAGTCAGAGTTTAGCACTCTACAACCAAGGGATTATTTTAAATGAGGACATGAATTAAATGAATTTCTCTTTATGTCTCTTTTCAGTCAAATAAAACCTGAAACAGATGTGCACCTTCCAGACCTTTCAAATCAATTATATTGAGAGGAACCGTACTGTATAAATGCTATGTGAACATTTGAAAAAGTAGAATATTGTCCTCTTGTGGTTACAGTTATTATTGCATGTGTGTTCAGAGTAACACTTTATATCACAATGTCCATGTTACACATATTCTGGATTAATTACATAATAATATATTATGTAACATATAACATAATAATATATTATAACAATTATGTGAATAATATATAAATATAAATGTAAAAATTATTATTATTATTTACAGTACATGTATATATAAATAAAAGTATCATGCACTGTAAATATGTTATTTCAGTATAATTGAGATACCATTATAGCTTTTACTTTAAATCAGTTTTTTATATATATTTTCTGTTTTCATTTTAAAATCTTAAAAGTCTTAGTCTTAAGTCTTAGTAATTTTGTTGTGTGTTTTTGTCATTTTTTTGTCACGTCATATTTTTATACATGTCTATAAATAGTTTTTTATTGATTTAAGTTTTATTTTAAGTTTTAGGTTTAGGTTTTATTTAGTACAAGTTAAATTTAAATGAGAAATTAAATAGTTTAATTCATTTAAGATTTATTTTGTTTCAAGTTTTTTTATGGTTTTAGTTTTAATTTCAGTTTTTTTGTGCACACACACACACACACACACACACACTGATTTTATATATAACATTTTTGTTCTTGTTTCTCAGTGTATTCATTAATTTCCTATTTTGTTTGCTACATTGGCTGAAGATGTCAATATAACAAGTGCATGCCAACCTGGTGAACAAACACCCAGCTCCTCATCTCATTATAAGAGGATGAAAAGTAAAGTAATCCATGTTAAGTCAAGAACACCACAGCTGATGTGAACAGGGCTACTGTGTGTCTGCTTCATCCAAAGTAGAAAAAGACTTATGTCATGTAGGTCAGATCTGGAACCCTTGTTAGAAATTAAAAGTTTCTAGTATTACATAAGAGTTGCAACCCACTGATGGCTTGATTTTGTATTATTTATGAGGCTTTGTGCTTTCTAAAATGACAATATCATAATTCATAAAAACCAATCCAAAAAATGGCTTCATGCACGAGGGGATTTAAAACAAGCCAGGACAAACACTGATTTGTTTACAGGCTAAAATAAAAACATCTACTAATTCCTCCAACACTTTTGATTAAATGCCACAGATGAGTGCATTTGCTAATTGAATCCCTGACATACAATAAACTCACAACAATAACATTTCAAGTACCTACAGATGAGTCTATAGCATACGTAAACACAAGACATAAACACTCTTACCGATGCTGAATTCTGTGAGCTTCACAGCAGATGTCACTGTGCTCTAAACAATGAAGGTTCTCCTCAAACAGAAGCGCTTGCCTTCCATGAAATGATACTCAAAGTGTTTCCATTGCTTTAAGAACAGATAATGCATAATTTCTCCTCGTAAGCAGACACAAATGAGCTTTATGGGCACAGATGGCTCAGGCGCACATTCTAATTCCCTACAACTCATGAGCCTGTTGTGGTGACCAAAGCTCTCCACAAAACCCTGAGGGCTCCCATATACAGCATGCAGCTGACACCAAACTGTACTGCCTTTTTATCACTATTTTGTAGTATAAACAAATCTAAAAAAGCATGCTGCTCCTGTGAAAGCTTGGATTTGTTTTTTGAAATAGGCAATGTATTTAAACTACACCTTTATTATATATATAAAATGTCTAGTTCATTTGAGCAGTCATGGCTGTCCTGAACAAATACATATCAGAATGCATATGAGCCTGAGTGTATTATACACAGCCACTGTGTATGTAGGAATATATGCAGGACTGAGTCTAAATAAGTGAGAATATCTGAAATGTGAAAACAAATCAGTGAAGCAGCCGAAGGTTTGCACATGATCTCCCCTCTCAGGAATGTGCTGAAACCCAATCCATCGTCTTAAGCTGGATTTCCATACACTAACATTACCTAGAAAGCTCAGCAGCCCTTAATTGGCAATGCAGGATTATGAGCATGAACATTATTTCATCTGTGCTGGTGGGGATCATATCAAGTGACATATCCAATTTCAAGACTGCAAACTGATGAGTTGTTTTATATAAAACTAATGCACAAGATTACCATATTTTAGAAAGAACCATGCCAGACAGATAGATAGATAGACAGCCAGATCATTCTCTTGACTCATTACTTTTGAGTTGTAATATATTTCTTACCACTAGAAAGCGCTCATAAAGCATTGTTTCTCACATATCTGACATATTCTAACTAGGAACTGGCATGAACTTTCACTTCCTGGTCTCTTTGTCTGCCTGATTTGCATAAGAGACAAGTTTTAGGTCAACAGTGCTGGCTACTGACGATACTAATTTGCTTCCTGAACATCTCCTCCTGTTGTACTTCTTGTCAACAGATATTTGTGTTAGGCAACAGTATGAAAATGACTCATATGTTTTCAAGCAATTAAATCAGGTATCTTTACTGCCTGAACCAGATATCACATGCATCTTGCAGGTGGTCATGTCCATGATTCAACATAACCTCTCTATTGACAAGGCCAACTGCAGAGGGTCACATACAAGGTTTCTAGGAACTGTCTGATGGACTCATCAGACCTATTCAAAAGCACACATTTAGGTCTGTTAACCTTTCTGAATCATTGCTTGGTTCACATGGAAAAAATCAATCCAACCAGACACCAGAACCATCAAGCCAACTAAACAAACATGCGCAGACACGGAGTTCATTGAGTCGTGCTGTAGATGGCCAACAGCTGTCATGAATGCATTGTTTTGTTTTCTACTAGTTAATTTCCAAAAATGTTTGCCCTGACATGTTTCCAAAAAGAAGCAAAATATAGTAAACAGCTGGCCAGCAGGTTAAAACCTCCCAAATTAGTTCCATATGTGCTACTCTATGGAAAACACTTCTTGGAAATCTATTACAAGGCCAGTTTAGCAGATTTCAACCTCCTTTAAGTCAAAAGGAAGAGAATACAAGAAGTGGGTTCAAAGAAAATGTTGAAGAGTAACTTTACAGTCAGTATATCACCAGCGTCAAGGGATATTTGTTCCCATGTAGTCAGATTACAGGCAGCTACGCATTGCAGAGATGAATAATGCAGCAGATGTCTGTCCTACCTGGAAGCTGATGGCCCCACCTGGTTGCTGTAGAGACAGACAACAGCCCCAGCAGGCACAAAGGTGTGCGTTTCTGCTCTTTACTCTCCCCACGTGTGTTAGGAAGAGGGGAAGGTGGGAACTTGATGGACACGAATGGTGGATCACGTACACCTCGTGATCTGAGAGAATAATCTCAGAGAAGTTACAAGAGATGGACAGGTGGGACCATTCATGTTTGGGTCTTTCAAAATTTGTGCCATCCTGCAAAAAGGGAAACACAGGCTGGACAAGCACAAGAGAGAAAGGAAAACTTTACATAGAGCTGATAGCAGGGCATGCCAAGGCATGTCGATTTCTCCCAGCAGAGCTTCTAGAAACAGGAAGATTTGAAGCTGTGGCTCTAGTTCAACTAGTCAATCTTGTATGAAATACAGCAGAACGTACTGGGTATGTCAAAACAGACGGTTACGAACTTTAGAATCACTAATCTAGTGTATTACACTTTGTTTTTATTTCTTTTCATTTCCTCATAAAAAAAACTCTTTGTGCGAGCTTAAAGTACACAACTGATCATTTTACCGACAGTCATAACAAAGTCACAGTAACACATGCAGTTAATTACCACAGCACTGCATGCTTTCAGGCACGTGCCTCTCCTGATCACTGTACACCTACAGGGAAACATCACTCACAGTTGGTGAAATCGAAGCCAGTGGCCTTTAGTTGGCTTTCTTGAGACCTGGAATTAAGAGGTTGATTTTATGCAAACTATAATGGCATTAAATATCCTCTATACCATATTTTGCATTTATTCAATGCATTTAACATCTTTTGACATTACAGCATTTTCATTTCTGGAACCATCTTCAACTCGTTTTAAAGGATTCCAACAGTTTACCAAAGAAATGCTTTAAAAATTTTAAATGAATGACTATTTTGTGAACATTTAATCATCAAATAAATTATTGTCACTGTATATTTATCGGCCTATTGAGTTTTTTTTTTAGATTATAGAACAGTGTTTTGGTTTAGGATAGGGTTGAAGGGATCAAACATATGTATATTATATTGAAAATGTAATACAAATACATTTACAATTCTAAAGAATTTCTAAAGATTATTTACATTTCTAAAGCTGCCCATATGTAAATACTTTTTCACCTTTTAGATGCAGTCACTACTTTCATATTTTATGTTTTGCATATCAAAACCTACAAAAAATGCATGTCTAAACATTATGTATAAATATCTATAAATACTTATGAGATCAGGTTTGAATATATAAGGCTTTTTCAAATACTTCATGAACTTTTTCCTCATTGGAACAGAAAAGGACATATTTTGATGTTCATACTACATTAAACAAAAACCTATGTGCTTTGTGCAACTACTGCAGGAGCTGTCAAACACCAAAAAGAAAAAACTTGGTCTAAGAAAACAGCAGTCTAATTTAATTATTAATTGGCTCATTTAATGTTTCGCCAATTGACGCCAAACAGAGCATGTGAAATCAAGTTTTATAATACGAGTCGTTAAGAGACTTTTAAAATGAATCATGACACTGGTGAACTATCTACTATATTATAAAGAAACATTTATATGTTGCTAGACAATTTAAAATATATATATTATGAATGCTCTTTAAATGGAGTAAGATTGTTTGCAAAAGGCTAATCTTTTAGCAACGGCTAGCTCTGCATGTTAACCCGCCCTGCTGTGCTCAGTGCATCAGTACTGTTGTTTATGGTTTAGACTTGCACACATTTCTCAAGGCATGTGGAAAGCATTAGGATTTACCACAGTTTTCATGTCATGTCATCAGGACACAAAACATTACTGACGGAGAGGATTTCATTAATTTAAGGATGGAGTGATGGGAACGTTTTGTCAAAGGTTAGCGCTGAATGATACAAAACAGTGTCTACTGGAACACAGATGTGAAATACAAGCCTTTCACAAGTGGGCCACAGCCACCAAATAGCATTTTTCCCCTTTTCCTACAAGAAAAAGATTTCTGTTTCTATAGCACAGATGGGTCTCATAATGAACCGTTTTACTCAAATTAAACCAGTCTTTCCACATAGTTGTGTTTGTGTAAGTACTATTAGTGCGAAGACTCCCATTTTAATTGTCAGATGTTAAAAAAAGTGGTTGTGTTGACAGAGCACAACTCAGCAAGCCCTAACAAAGCAGTAAAAAAACAACAGTAATGAGGATTACAACTTGTTTCCTGTGTGGAATTGTGGGGGCTGGGACGGGTGGGAAGGAGTGAACATGAGAGACAGACACGGAGAGGTGTCATATCACTCTCATGAGAGACCTTATGTAATTACACAGGATGTTTTGGGTAAACATACTGTATGAATTGTGCAGTTTCCATGCTGATCCTGGTGTTTTCCTGCTTTTTATTAGAAGACTTTCTTCTGATACGCTCTGTGTCTGTGAATATTCACACAATATCCCTTTCAATGCAACTCAAGATGTCCTATATGATTTATGATGATGCCCTTGCATCATCATGACAAAGTCGGCCCACTGCTATCCATTTAACATAATTTGGCATTGACGAGTTTTATAAAGCCTATGAAATCTTGCAATGATGCTGCCAATAAAACATACTTCCCGCTCAGCTTGTCAGATGCTAGATTTTTACATTTTCTGAAGAAAACAACTAACAAAACCCAAGTCTCCATGATATTCTAGACTCTAAAAACTGCTGGGTTAAAAATAACCCAATTTGGGTTATTTTGGCAACCCAGCGCTGGGTCAAAAAGGGACTAATTTAAAATTACTACACTGCTTGGCTAAAATGAACCCAAATCGAGCTAGACATTAAACCTACAAATCTTGTTAATTTTAAAATCACTTTTACACACACAGAATGACTATCAAAAGGTAAATATTTATTTAAAACAAGAGAAAACAGTCAAAAGAAACATGCATGTAAGAAATGCAGAAAAGTATGGCATTAACAGCTACAGAGTTTATAAATGAAGCATTGAACATTTGTTGAATATAACTTTTAAAGGGGTCATATGATGTGATTTCAATTTTTCCTTTCTCTTTGGAGTGTTACAAGCTCTTTGTGCATAAAGAAGATCTGTAAAGTTGCAAAGACTAAAGTCTCAAATCCAAAGCGAAACTACTTTGTTTAGCCTTCCAAAAGAGGACGAAATCCGCTTTGTCATGCCTGGAGCTGATCCGTGCTGGTCGCTGAGGAAAAACATCAACTTCACGCTGTCAATTGCAGGATCGGCTTTCACCGTGGACGAAGCGGAGTCCAGCCCGGGGTCGTCACATGTGGTTGCCGCAAGCCTCCTTTGTCGAATCCGCCGGGCGCCGCTCAATCAAGCCGCTGTGTTTCGTTGTGAAAGCGAAACTACTTTGTTTGGCCT